CTCGCAGCCGCAGGCCTGGAGGCCGCAGGAAAGGCCCCCCCGCGCGCAGGACTGGACCCTGCCGTCTGGACCTCCACCTCTCTGGGTGGGTCGGACTTGCTGGAACTGGCTGCAGCCACAGCGCGGCTGGACTGGCAGCTAATGGCAGAGATACAGGCTCCACGGGGAGGACAGGGGCTGTGCTGGACGCAGGCAGCTCGCCAAGATGGCCTTCCAGCCCTGCCGTCAACACTGCCTGAGGCGGTGGTCGGCCTAGCCCCACCGAGTACCCGGCTTCCTGCAGGAGGGGCTGGCAGAGAAGCGGAATGTGCCTGGGGCCCCCCCCAGGGGAGGTAGTCCTGGACAAGGGCATCAGCACTGCCTGCCCTGGAAATGCAGAGTCTCAGGCCTCGCCCAGGCCCGCCGACCCGGAGTCAGAGCCAGGGGTTCTGTGTGTGGGAGGCTGAGCGGTGCTGTGACAAGGTGGCATCAGGCGGCGGCAGCAGGTTTGCAAAAGGCACATGCCCTTTGACCTGGCCAGGCTGCATCTGGGGGTTTACCCAAAGGAAGCAGTCAGAGGTGCACGCAGGGAATGTCTGACCTCGCAGAGTAGCACTCACCGTGACGTCCTGTGCCAGGACGGCGGTGTCCCATTCCTGTCATGTCTGTGGACGTGACCCTGGGAGGGGGCTGGCTGATGCAGAGGAGACAAAGCTCACAAAAATCAGGGAGAGCAAGGCGGCCCCGCCAGCATGAGGAGGTGGAGTTAGGGGTTGGGTTCTGGCTGCCCACCAGCAGTGCCCGCCGCCTGCCTACGTGACCTGGCCGTCAAGGTGGCGGCACCAGGGCATGTCCAGCACTGGGGGCCCGCCCAGCAGAGCAGGGTCGGCCTGTGTGACTGGGGTGTCCTGCTCTCTGCTAGGAGCTTCAGGTACACTTGAGCAAACCCCCCGCCGCCACCAAACTGGGCTGAGGCCCACCCTTCCCTCCCTCCCTCCTGCCCCAGGGGCTCGTATGGCTTCCTGGGGGAGGGGACGGCCTGTCCTCCTAGCCCAGGCCCTCATTCCCACTCTTGCCGCCATGGCTGCCCCTGGCCAGCAAAGCCCTTCTCTGCAGTGACTCAGGCCAGCATTGCCATGGGCAGCCTGGGGCAGCCTTCTCTCTGGAACATGGTGCTTGAGACCAAGGGGGTTGGGAATTAGGGGCAGAAGAGGACCCCTGCCTCCTGTCACTGCAGCTATGGGAGTTCCCTGGTGAGGGGTTCCCAGCACCTCTCGAAGGTGCTGGCAGGTGCACACGTCCACACAGACAGGTGTGATGACTTCCCCACTGCAAGCTCCTGGGAGCCGGGCGATGGGGCACAGACAGCCCAGCTTCAGTTCACGCTGGGCCCAGAGTCAGCTGGCCCTCCTGCCACCTCTCGGTCTGTCTTCCAGAGCCCCAGAGAGGCTGGCCTCTCCAGGACACCCTCACGTGTACCATCAGCTCTGGGTACAGTCGGGGACAGGAGTGTGTGGCTCAGGCCCTGGTCTCTCCAGGCACTTTTCCCCAAAAACACGTTGTTGGGGGGTGGACGACACTGACCTCATTGGTTCAAAAGCCCCCCATCCCCAGGACACGAGGCTCTCTTTGGGAGGGAAGGCTCGAGGACACAGAGCAGGAGACAGAGGGGGAGTGGGCAGTCATTGCAAAGAATTCACGTGTGTTAGTTAAGATCCTTTAGCAACAACACCAAAAGCATGAGCAACAGAGGGAGAGCAGATACACAGGACTGCATCAAAATGAAGACATTTTGTGCCGCATGTGATAGATGCCTTGAAGGAAGTGGAGAAACAGCCCACAGAATGGAAGGATACATTTGCACATCATCTATCTGATGAAGGGCTTGTATCCAGAATACACCAAGAACACCCACAACTCAGTAATAAAGGCAGGAACTCAGAAAAGGGCAAAGGATCTGAATACACACTTCTCCAAAAGAAGACACACCAATGGCCAGTGAGCACATGGAAAGGAGCTCAGCATCGCTAGTCGCCAGGAAAACGGTGCAGCTGGTCCGGAAGACAGTCTGGCAGCCCTGCAAATGGCGAAGCGCCGCCACTCCCAGTTTCACACCCAGGGGAAATGAAGACGTGCATATGTGTGCACAGACACGTGCAAACCAGTGTTCACAGCAGCATGGTTCACAGCTGACAGAAAAGGGAAGCAACCCAAAGGCCCATGAGCTGATACGTGGATAAACCAAACGTGGTCCATCCGTACGACAGAATGCCACGCAGCCCTCGGGAGGAATGGAGCGCACCTGCTACAACGTGGCTGGGCCTTGAGGAGATTATGAAAGAAGCCGGTCACAGAAGGACTGTGTTGTCGGACTCCCTCTGTGTGGAATGTCCAGAACAGGCAAATCCACGGAGACAGAAAGCAGCTTAGGGCTTGCCAGGGGCCGGAGGCGGGGAGGATGAGGAGTACCTGCTAGTAGGCACCGGGCTTCTTCTGGGGGTGATGAAAAGGTGAAATGACCGTGGAGATAGCTCCCAACTTGATGATTATATTAAAAATACTGCATCATACGCTCTAAGTGTATGTATTACAAGGTATGTGGTTTCTGTCTCAATGAAGATGTTTAAAAAAATCCTTCTGCAAATGCCATAAAGCCAAGCTCAGAGTGATGGGCACAAAAAGGGAATTTGTTCGCTTCTGTCCCCCAGGCAGTGGGTAAGTTCAGACATAGGTCTGCTCTTAGGGACCGCCTGATTCAGGAACTAAATCAAGTTCTCAGCACCTGGGTGTAGACTGAACAGGCAGGCTGAGAATCAGGGACAATCTGAATGTTTTTGCCAGAGCACAGAGCCCGGCACGTGAAGGAGGCGGGGCGGGATCCCGAGGCCAGCACCCAGGACTGCTAGGCCAGGCGTGAACTCACCTGGCCCGGCCCGCACACCTGATGAAGCCGGTATGCGCTGGACCCGGGCTCCAATCCACTATTGTGACTTCTGGATTCACCTCCCAACTTCTGAGCCTTTCTGCATGGACTTTGATCCTTGACACACCCTCCGATGCACAGCAGCTCAGCCCCTTCCCACAGCCCTCACCCAGACCCCACAACTTTCGTCTTGCTCTTTGATGAACTGGGAGATTCACAAGCCCCTTCGTGCCAACAACCCCCTCCCGCCAGCTGCCCTGCACACACCCTCTGGCTCGTGGATTGTGGGGATGGGCGAATCCGATGCACAGCAGGATGCACAGCAGCTGAGGAAGAGGCAGGAGGAAGCCACTGGCTGCCTCGTTCTCATGAGGTCTAATCACACTCATTAGCCCTAGGAGGCAGAGCAGGAGGAGGGAGCAGAGAAATGCGATCTGGCTGGGAAGCGTGCCTCTGAGTGTCTCTCTGCCTCCGACAGGTCACCTGCTGCACGGGAAGTGCCAGCGAGACCCCTGTAACCCTCCCACCCCTCTGCCCACAGACTGTGTCCCCAGCCCGTGTCAGACGGGTCAAACACAGATCGAAAGCAGCCCCAGCGAACAGCACCTCCGGGCTCCATGGTTCACTTCTGTGACAAGCTTTGGTTCAACCAATGTTTAGGGGACGCCAACTGTTCATTCATTCGTTTGTTCATTCATCATTTACTCAAAATGCAATGATCACATTCCTGGAGCGTGCCAGATACCACGCTGGGCACGGAGCGGGAGGAGAGGAATCTGACAGGGTCCCGCCTTGCCGTGCTCCCCCCGCCCCACCTGAGTGGCTGAGACCATGAATCAAAAGGTAACCCCATGGCAGAGTGATATATGCTAAAACCAGAGGAGCCCCGGTGCTGACAAAGCTCAGGGAAGAGGCACCTGCCTGGCCTAGGCATCACTGGGGAGGGATGTTTCTGGTGAGTCTCGTGAGTGAAGGAGTGCTCCTGGTAAAGCAATGTGTGCACACGTTCCAGAATACAGAGACCAGAAGGTGAAAGTGTTGTTTTTCATAGCCCCAAACTGGAAACAACCTACCTGAATGTCCAGTTACAGGAGAACAGATGAGTGACGATTGGCATTTTCACACAATGGAATATTATACAGCTATGAGGACAAAAAAGCCCAGATTCAAACAACCACATGTTAAGCACAGTGTTGGGCAAAAAGGATGCACACTGTGTGACTAGTATAATTCTGGTCACATGGAGTTCAACAACAGGCAAAAGTCACCTCCTGCGCCCAGGGACACATATATGCAGGGGGTAAACTATAAAGGGAAAAAGATGGTGGTAAACTCAGATTGCTGGCTCTGTCTGGGGGAGAAGATTACGACTGGGGAGGGGCACGCTGTGGCTTCTGGGTGCCGCTCATGTTCAGCTCCTCGGCCTGGGTGCTTGCTCTTGGACATAGGCTCCATGACCGCTTGTTACCATATGCAGATATGTGGCTTGACACAGACAGCAACTTGTCTTCCCCAGGGAGGGGACATTCACACGCTTGAGACAAAAAGTGTGTTAGCTGCATGCTTTGCTGTGGGCTGCTTGGGCTCATTTCCACCTTTGGCAAATGACTTGACCTGTCCAAGACTCATGTTTCCTCATCCATAGAGCGGGGATAATAATAGTAACAGCCTCATAAAGTTGTAGGATTAAGTTTGATAGCAAATGACCAGACAGAGCCAGAAACACAAATGTAGTAATTAATTGTGGTCACCACCATCATCACCACCACCACCACCATCATCACCACTATCACCACTGTCATCATCATCATCACTATCATCACCACCATCACCACCAGCATCATCAACATCATCACAACTATCATCATTGCCATCATCACCATCACTGTCACCATCATCACCATCATATCACCAACACCATCATCACCACCATCAACATCCTCAACATCCTCACCACCACTATTGCTGTTGTCATCATCATCATCACCAGCACCACCACCATCATCACCGCCATCACCATCACCAACACCATCATCACTGTCATCAGCATCATCACTGTCATCACCACCATCATCATCATCACCACCACTTCCTCTTCTTTTCCTTTTTGCTAATTTGTCCAAATCTCTCCTTCATTATCCTCCTCTTTCTCCTTCATTCCTCCACCTCTCTCTTCTTCATAACTGTTTCCATCTAGAAATTGAATGACCCAGTGACAGTGTTCCCTGGGGTCATAGATAGTTCTAGGTCTTGGTAAATAAGGAAGTGAAATTATGCCTGCCATTTTTTAACTCTTTCATTCTTAATTTCAAGTCATCTGTCCCACTAACAGAACACACACCCCAATTTCTGGCTCGGAATCCACGTGCTCTAACTTGCACTAGAAGAGCCAACCAGGCCTTCTTCCTGCTGTCACAAGGAAGGACCCTGACTACAGTTGACTGGGTCGGGAATGGACACCTGACTGCAGCTGACCCGAGGTGGACCTCCCCTAGGAACCAGGATACACAGAGTCCAGATTATTGACTGCCAGTGTTGGACTGACTGAGAGGTGATGGAAAGAGTAGACCACAGCAGAGAAAGCTGGTCTCTGGAGAGCAGAAACATAAAGCAGACAGTAGGAGACACAGTGGGGCCCAGGGAAAGAGAGAGATTTGGGTTTTGGCTCTCTTGTTCTTCATTTCTGTCCAGAACCTGCTTTTGCCTCCATCCTCAAGGTCGGAGAGATTCTCCTCTGTTCCACTAAGTTGCCACATTCTCATCCCTGCTGGCCTATTATTTGCAAAATATTTTTTTTAAATGGATCTCCCCCTGCCTGCCCCACTTATTTAGTTTGAACAGATTTATTTTCAAAGAAAACTTTACATTAGTAATCTAAATAGAAGATCAGCAGCATATGATATTCTCAGAAGGAAACTATAAATGGATACAACAAATAATAACTAACAGAAACATCAAAAATTAAATCATGAAATATAAGGAGAAATAAGCCTAATTAACTTACAAAGTGCTTATCTCAGAAGTGCAAATTAAGATCACAATGAGATATCACTACACAGTCCCTAGAATGGCTAAAATTAAAAAGACTGACATCACCAAGTGTTGGTGAGGATGTGGAGCTACTGGAACGCTCACCCACTGCTGGGGGAGTGCAAAGTGATTCAACCACTTTGAGAAACTAAATACTAAAACTAAATACAGTTGACCCTTGAACAACACAAGTTCGAACAGTGTGGGTCCATTTAAAAATACGCAGGTTTTTTTCGATAGTAAATACTACAGTACTACACGAACTGTGGTTGGTTGAATCCATGGATGTGGAAATGCGGATACAGAGGAACTACAGATAGAGAGGGCTGATTATAATTTATTGATTTTTTTTGACTGTATGGAGGTAGCAGTATCTGCAAATCCTGAACTCCCAATTTATCCCTCTCCACCCCCTTTCCCTTTGGTAACCATAAGTTTGTTTTCTATGTCTGTGAGTTTGTTTCTGTTTTGTAAATGAGTTCATTTGTGTGGGGTTTTTCTTAGATTTCACATACAAGTAATTTCATATGGTATTTTTCTTTCTTTTTTTGGCTTATTTCACTTAGTATGATAATCTCCAGGTCCATTTGTGTTGCAGCAAATGGCATTTTCTTTATGGATGTGGAGTAGTCCATTGTGTGTGTGCGCGCACGCTGTAATACTTCTTTATCTAATCACCTGTTGATAGACACTTAGGTTGCTTCCATGTCTTGGCTATTGTAATAGTGCTGTTTAACACTGGGTGGCACATATCTTTCCTAATACAGTTCTCTGGA